AACAGGGTGTCCCCTCCCTCCTTCACATCTCACCCAGGCAGAGCAGGGCCGTGAGGGTGGGGGTCATGGTGTGTCCTCCCGTGGTCCCAGGGTCCAGACGGAGGAGGTCACAGGGCCTGGAAGATAGACACACACTGGGTGTGGCCACTGGGAGGTGGTGTCCTGCCCGTCAAAGGGCTGTCCCAACAGCAGCCCCACAGGAAGGGGAACTGTCCTCTCCAGGAGCCTGGTTCTCATTTCCAACTGGGTCAGGCCTGGGTTTCTGCGGGCAGCTCTGACAGCAATGGTGCCCTCCTCACCCCTTCCGCTGTCTGCCTGGCCTGTCCTGCTCTCACTGAGGCCAGTGTGCTGAGGCAGGTACACCTAGTGCCACAGTGACCCTGGGGCTGCTCCTCCTCCCTGGCTCTCCTTCAGCCCGCCCACGGCCCAGGGTTGTGGGCTCCTTGTCAGTACCAGCCGTCTGCCCAGCCTGGAGACGCTGCAGAGATGCAGGTCCGTCTGCTGGTGGGCCAGCTCAGCAGGCCTGAGCCCCTGATGCGCAGCTCCCTGGACCCCATTCCAAGTCCCTCTGTCATGGATTCTTCACATGCTAGGTCAAGGCCATTCCTTCCAAACCTTTTGTAAATTCAATATTTTCTCTCCTACACCATCCCCCAGTGGCCACTGAGTCCTCACCATGTCCAGCCTTGGGGCCAGGCATGGGGATGCTCGACGAGCTGAGGGGTTCCTTCCTTGGGCCCATGGACCAGCACACAGGGCAGTGGGCAATTCTGCTCGACTCTCTGCTTCTCAGGACGGAGAAAAGGGGAGGAGACTCAACAACAGGTGGAGATGCAACCACCTGACCCGGAGCGCGGGCCGCTCTGGAGGAGGGTGGGAGCAGGGGCCTAGGGGGCTCTCTTCTTGCAGGGCCTCTTGCCCCACACAAGCATTTTTAAGACCACCACCAGGAAGGAAGTGGACGGTAGCAGGGCAGTCTTGAGAGCAAACGGACACTTCTCCAACAGTTACCTGAACCCAGACGATGTGCCCACTGGTGTTCTGAGTGGTGCCCGTGGACCTCCTGCCTCTCCTACGGACGGGACCCAAGGCCGAGAGCCCATTTACAGCGGAGGAGGAGCGACAGCGGGAGATCCTTGGCCTGGCGAGGAGCGAGGAGCGTGGGCAGGTGTCGTCGGGGCTCCGCGTGTCTCTGGAGCTGACTGAGGGGCGCAGTGTGTCCGAGGCCCTGGGAGTGTGTCTGTAGGGCAGGTCTGTGGGGAGCTCGCTGAGGGGGCTGCCTCTAGGGAGGAGCTGGGTTTGCCGGTGCGGAGTCAGCTTCGCTGGTCACCACGGCCCTGAACCTCAGGCCGAGATCCCGAGTGCAGCCCGGGGGTCTGGTGTGAGGGCGTGGACAGGACTTCCGAAGCCCTCTCCAGGCCTGGGCTGTGCAGCTGGCCGGAGGACGTGGGTCGGAAGGGCTCTGGGCGGTGCTGTCTGGAGTTCAGCTCTGCACAGGGGAGAAGAGCCCCAGGGCTGAGGGTAGCTCCCCTCTGTGCCTGGGCTGGGGGGAGCAGCCAGTGGGCGTCCCGGGATGATGACGTCAGGGAGAAGGAGGCTCAGGACAAGGTTGGCAAGGCTTCGCTGGCTCACAGAGGGAAGTCGGAGTCCCGCCAGCCAGTTGCGTCATTCTGTTGCTTCCAAACTTCCTCCTTGGACTTCCTCATTTCCGCCAGAAGCAGCGTCTCCCGCTCCTCCACCCACTCCTCGGGGTCATTCCTGCCTCCTCTCCCTCTTCTCTGACCCACAGCTCCTCCTCTGACCCTGGGGACTCTGCTCCGTGCTCGTCACTAGTGCTCCTGGGAGGAGATCCGCTGGCGTCTGCTCAAGAATGGGGGTGGCCTGGGTCACTAGTCACCCTGGAGCAGGAAACAGCCCCCACCATCCTCCTCACAGGGCGAGGGGGACGGCAGCTTCTAGGAGGGCAGTTCCTGGGACGAGGAGGAGTCTCCCTCTGAAGGGCCTTCCCTGGAGGAGTCCAGTGCGGGGAAGGGCTCCTCCCCTCCCCAGACCTGCCCTCTGAGCCCAGAACATGACCAAGAAGCCATCCTGCCCCCTGGGTCATCAGGGCTGGGACCTGAACGCTCACGTATTGAAGGCCTGTCCCCGTGCAGGGCGTTTGCCTTTGAGGGGTGATTGGTTGGATCATGGGGGCTCTGCTGACTTCATCAACGGATTAATCCACTCAGGGATTCGTATCCTGAGGCTTTGAGGAAAGGATTTTGTTATAAAAGTGAGTGCACTGTGCCCTCTGTCTCTCTCCCCGCCATGTTGTTCTGCCCCATCACAGCCCATAACAATGGGGCCAGGGGTCCAGGGGCTGAAATCTCTGACACTATGAGCCAAAATGAACCTTTCCTGCTCGAAGATGTTGTTCTTCAGGCATTTTGTCACTGCAGCAGAAAGCTGGCTAAAAGGTGGGTGGGACGGAGAGAACCACAGAGGCGTACAGGGTGCTGGGGTGCAGCCGATCCTATACCCAGCTAAACTATCACCCAACCTGCTGGTGGGAATTTCATCAGTGTGAGGGCACCTGAGCCCGGTGGAACTTAGGGCTTGTCTAGTTTGGAGGGACTCCCATTTCACTTGACCCTCTGGGGACAGCTGCCTGCACCGCTACCGCCATTGCTGCCTCTGATTCTGCTGCTGCCAGCCTGAGGTGGCCTGGAGGTCTTCTTTCTAAGCTAGGGCAGAAGCCACTGCTGCGCCCAGAGGTCTCTTCCTGGGCACGGCCTTGGTTACCCCAGACATGAGTTCCCTCACTACCTCAAAACTACTCCACGATTTCATCTCACCCCTGTCGGAATGGCAGTCATCCAGAACTCAGGCAGCAATGAATGTTGGTGAGGATACATACACTGCTGGTGGGACTGCAAATTGGAAAGCAGTATGGAGATCTGAAAAGAAAACTGGGAATGGAACATACAACATACCATGTGCACGCCGCCCGGAACTCCTAAGGGAAGGAAAATGAGAAGAAGAACCCAAGGACGGCGGGAATCGCCCACATTGGAGGAATCTTAGGACCACGTGGGCCCTGGACCGTATTCTGAGCATCTGGGTCTCAGCACTGGCTTGAGGCTGAAACGGGGCGAGGACTGGGATTTTGCATAGAACATGGCCCAGCTGAGGAGGAACGCAGCCTCACATGCATCCTACGATTCCTTGGACTTTGAAATGTGCTCAGTGAAAGGCAGACACCAAGTGCCCGGTGGCAAGGGGGTCCACACACAGGCCACAGGCCAAGGAGGCCATCCAGATGCAGAAAGCAGGAGCTGGGGCATGGGGAACGTGGGGACTGCTTACTGGGCATAGGGTTCTCTTTGGGGGCTGAAATGTCTGGGAACTAAACACAGGTGGAGAGAGCGTGATGTGCTGTGCGCTCAGTGTCGCTGGACTGTGCACTTCCAAGTGCTCAGTGCCTCCTTGGGTTATATAAATTATGGTTCATAACAAAAAGGGGAAAATGATAGGATACCCTATAAATTCCTTACACCTTAAGGAGGCACCTCATGTCCTATTGGGGGAGTTCGGGCAATAAAGGAGTTCCTGTTTGAACCTACAAGTGCCTTGTGGCGGCCTGGTTATTTTGTGCCCAGCCAGACTGCGGCAGCCTTTGCTCCCACTCTCACAGGGTGTCCGGTCTGATTCCCAGGTTTTTGATCCACTCTGAGTTGAGTCTTGTGCCTGGTGAGAGAGCGGGGTTTAGCTTCCGTCTGCTGCTTATGGCTCTGTAGTTCTCCCAGTGAAGAGGCTATCTGTCCTCCAATGTGTGTTTCTGGTGCCTTTTTCTCGTATGAGACAACTACACTGTTGATTGATGGGTGCCTATCGATCATACAGAGCAGCGGGGGTTCACGGAGGTACCTCACCTGCTGCAGGGCAGTCCTGTCCGTTCTGCTCCCGGCCCTCTCCCTGCCCTCTCCGCCCCTCTCCCGGTCACTCCTCTTCTCCCTTCTCCCTGGTCACTCCTCCCTTCCTTCCCCCCTTTTCCTCTCCAGCTTCCACGTGTGAGAGAAAACTGCTCTTCCTGAGTCTGGCCTGTTTTCTTTGATCCGATGCTCTTCAGTTCCAGCTGTTTTCCTGAAGATGAAACAATGTTTTTCTTCTTTATGCCAAAAAAATATATATATTCCATGGTGTGTGAGACCACATGTCCTTCACCCACCATCCGAGGACAGAACCCAGTTGGTTCTGAAGGTGGCCACTGCGAGTTTGCTGCTATCAACCTGGGAACGCCCTGACCTCTGCCCTGAGCTGTCGTGACCTCGTGGGGACAGACGCCACGCACTGGGACAGCCAGATCAGACGGCGGTGTTGATCTCAGTCTTTTGAGGACTTTCCACAGGGGCATGAAGTCCCAGCCACAGTGCATGAGGTTCACTGTTCTGCACTTATTGTTATTTGTATCCTCGATGACGGTCATTCTGAGTGTGGGGCTGGGGACAAGCCCCAGGCCAGAGCAGGGGCTTCTGTGCGTCGCCCAGCGCTGGGAGCTGTGGGGAACTCTCCAGGCTCTGCTGAGGGTGAGCTACTCTTTCACATGTTTGCCAGGGAGCGATTCCCTTATCCAAAGTGCATGTATGAAGGCCCCAATTGGTGTGAGTATACTTGATATACAACCAG